TTCAAGTAATTTAATAGTTTATCAATAGAAATTTTAGAATTTAATATTGAATTATTATAAATTTAATTGTCATTTATCTTCATTTTAATATTAGACATTTTTAAGAACTGACCAATTGGAACTGCAGATCAAATAAAAATAAAATATTATGTATGTGTATGAATATTTTATTTATATAAAATAAACAAAGAGAAAAAACATAATACTGTACAAAAATTCAAAACAGCTCTTACACCATCCAATTTTTTTGTTTTTTGGAGTATTCTCAAATGGCAAGAGATGTAATTTATAATAAATAAAATTACATTACTACATTTGTAATAATGATCCTTTAAATATAACTCAGAAATCAGCTTCCCCAATATACAATTTAATAACAAGCTTAAAATATAATAAATATCACATTTAAGTCCTATTCTTATAGAAAAAAAAAACAGTTCAATTATGTCAAAATTATCGGCAATTATATTCATAAATTATTGCATTCATAAACATAAAAAACAGAATTAAAATTATTTAACATCAAATCAATCTTTAAAATATGGAAAGCTATAGAAAGCTACATATTTAAAACATGGTTAATTATATTTTTAAAATAATTTCAAGATACATGTTTGATATTTTTCATTAAAGATAACTGAGAATTCAAACTTCTACTTTACTATAAATGAAATTATGTGAGGGATATTGAAAACTTTGTCTAATATGAACTGCAATTGATTGGTCTATCATTTTTACTAACTGAAAATCTTGAGTTATATATACTAAATATACCAAATACCTAAATCAGTATACAAGATCTTTTTGTCTTTAATAACATCTTTCACTCTACAAAACAGAACAACTTCCTGTTATTAATTTGAATTATAAACTAAAACTGTTATAAATTTCTTTAATTATTTGAACTTTTGTTGAATAATAAAATAAAATAAAATGGAATTGCTATTTTATAAATAATGATAAATATAGATAAAATTACATTTTGATACTATCATTTTTAAATTCTAATCAACATAAAAAAAAACCATCAAGAAGATTCAAAATAATCAAAACTTGTATCCGAAATAATACTATATTTCTGTTTCATTTTTTATAGTCAACCATCTTTACTTAAATTAAGTTATTAAGAGTTTATTTAAAACTCACAATTATATTGTCTATTTTCTACAAACAGGTGATGCTAACTAAGTATTAGCAAGTGGTAATCAATTTGTTTTATAACCATTAACATTTATTTCACTTTTAATGCATATAAATATATTTTACTTATTAACTGTAATATAAAAATGAAACAGAATAATATAATACAATATATAAAAAGTTAGTTGCTAAAACTTATTTTAGCAACTAATTTTTTAACATAGGCCTATTGTATATGAAATACAGATTTGCATTTAGTTCTTTTAATTTATTTTTGGTTAATTTTTGCTAGATTCAATATATATAAATATAATAAAAAAGACTCCATAAAAATAAGTGAATGTTTTAAAATAATTTAATAAAAATCACATTTTAATCGGGATTTTCAAACATAATTTAAACTATTTTTAGATCTGTTTTATTTCATGATCAAAGAAAATTTTTCAAAAAAGACATAACGAAATGTGAAGCAAGGCAACAAAATTCCATGTCAAAAATGCAATTGTTAGTCTGAAAAATCTCTTAAATTCCTGTAGAAATTTTTAAATTTAGACACCCCACAACTCACACTATACAAAAACAGAATCTCAATTATATTAAACAAATCCCATGAATTCTACTAAAGGCTTAAAATGAACAGACTTAATCGATTATAACATCTTTAAAACTACAAATTATATATTAACTAATAACTCTTTAGAAACATAGTTCATATCTTTCTGAAGCTTTTAAGTTATTCAAGATACAAATTTGTGAATCTAAGCCTTGAATATTTATATTGAAATCCATTAAAAATTCAAATAAAGGTACTTGCATATAAATTACAAACAAAGGTTATGCCAATATGCCAATTTAATCAATTTATTTTTTAATTTTTCTTAATAAAGTATAAATAAAAAGAAGGCAATAAATATTAAATATAATAATATATTAAATCAAGCAAACTTGTTCCTTTTATTATAACATTATTATACAAAAACTTTTGTGTTATATCAAGGGATACATTGGTTAGGTTTTCAGTCAGTATTAGAAAACTGGATTTATTTCTTTCAGATTTAATGGGTTTTACTGATATTTACTCTGGCCTCTTATACAAAAGTAATTATTTTAGATGCATCAACATTACTTAAATAATGTATAACTTACAGAACGGAATTATCAAACTAAAAAAAAAAACATTTCTTCATTAATAAATAAATAAATTGATTTTCTGTGAAAAAAATTATGATAGAAGTCTTTATAACAACAGCACTTAACATTTAATCATCAAATTAAACTAGAATTTTTTAATTAAAGTATTATATCCTTAGAAATATAGTAAAGAATATCCAAAAAATCCAAACTTCAAAACTTCAAGGACATTTTTAAATTTTAAAGTACTTACTGTAATTAATCTTATAATTTTTTTCATCACTGTAAACAAGTAAGATCATGGACAAAGTTTATTCTATTATGGAAAAATGAGAAGTATCAACAAAATTAACTGCAACAAATTTGATTTTATACTTAAATTATACATTTTTAAGTTGTACTGCTATAAATAGTGTTTGTGTATATATATAATATGCAAAATAATATTAAACTCAATTAAATATCTATAAATAAGCTTTATTACTTTATATAATAAAAAAACAAATTTCAAAATTTACTATTTTCTTTCTTATTACAATTGAAACATAAATATAATATAAAGTATATTTATGTAATGTAATTTTAAATTAGACAGAAGCAAATGGTTTTCTTTATCAGCACCTTATACTCCTATCATGTATTGTTCTATAAATCCAAATCAGTCATTTTTATTCTAAAATGCTAGTTGTATTCATTTATCACTTTAAAAATACTCTTAACAACAATGGCCTCTTTTATAATATAGAAATATAAGTAAGCAAGCAGTAAACTAATATTTTATGTAACTGTTAAGAAACAAGCTATGAAGCCTATAAATCAGTTAGAAATATAAAAGAATATATCAGCAAGTTACTAATTTGATTAGTTTCTGTACTTTATTTCTTAATATTCTTCCTTATATCAACCTAAAAACTAGTCTAGATGATATAAGTAAGATACATAGGTTTATTGTAATGTTAGTATTACATAATTAAATCAATTCTAAATTTAATGTAAATAATTAATTTAATCACATGATTAAATCCTTATAATAATAAATGTTTTGCATAAATTATAAACAATCCTCCATCTAGCAAAGTTTTGCAAGCTTCTTTTTGAGTTTATTTCCTAAAAACCACATTTTTTTGTCAATAATACTAATATTTTGTGATTTATAAATTAACTTAATTTTTTAAATTAAATAAAATGACAAAACTGAATAAATAGTAAAATTATAAATTTAGGATTCTCCAATTTGAAAAAAACTAAATTCAACACCTAAATTTATCCAAACAAATATACTTTCCATTAACTGAACCTTTATGGAAGAAATTAAAGTTATTAAATATATAGAATCTAATAGAATTCTTTTCTAAATTCTACCCATTCTATAGCAGTTACAATGTTTATGAATAGTACTTAAATGCCTGCTAATTTATCAAAATATCCCTAAAATGAATGAAATGTTTAATGCAAAAAAGATATTTGCTCTTTTAAGTCTTTTTAGGATTTAAAAAATTTTTAAATTATTCTAATTTACTTTTTTAAACAATTTGAATTATAAAAAAAATAATGCTCGTTAAAATTATATTAATAATACATAAGCCTAAAACTTATAAATTATTCAATAATCTTTCTAAAAAAACATTTTAAATTCACTGTAAAACAATAGTAATTACTGTTTATTTTTTCTTTTTTGCATTCAAATATACAATAAATGAAAACATCAAGAGTATATTTTTAAAATTACATTTTAAAAAAGTCACAATAAGCACATAGATAATTCTCAATGATAATTTTATATTAAAATGATTATAAATTCATTTTTAATCGCAATAAAACGACTTCCTTACATTGGAACAAAATCAATGTTTTTAAGTGAAGAAAAACAGCAAATTTAAAATTCTGATAAATCAATTTTATAAATTTAACCATTTATATACATTATTTTAAAAAGCAATCCACATGATACTCACTAAGTCAAGACAAACTTTTTTAAGACAAAATATAGATGAACCAGACATCGGTTCTATTGTTCTTTCAGCTATTAATATCTGCATCGAGTTTACAACGAACACGTTGTTTGCCCACCGATCCATATGGTTATAAAAAGTATTCAATATATGGTAACTATATACATAGAACAATTTCGAGTGCCTTTATGATATACGATAATCAAAATATGCAAATTAAAAACCATTATGTCAAGGAAAAATATATATACTGTATTCCCTTTCATAACTTAGGAGCTTCTCTCATCACAGTGTATAATTTAAGAAAGAGTTTAGATTAGTTTTAACCTACACGAATATAAATTATACGAATGTGGGGAAGGGATTATTTACAAAACGGGGAGTTTACGACCCCTCCCAATTCATTGTCTCGGGATGAACGTCTTTCATCACTAGTGGCTTTAGAAAATATGTAGAGTAGGAATGATGGAAAGAGGGACGATTTAAAGAAGAAAATACAGGCAGGTAATGGTAATATAGGTGGATATCTCATTCGCCCGACGCATTTACCGTCCGCCCCTTAGAAGGGCCTCGGACCAGAAGATTGAAAGTCGATCCTTTGTTCCACTTCCTGTCGTCAGCCGTATTATAAATCCAATCAGATAATCATAAATGATTTAAAATAAACAAATAAATGCCATAAGGTTACGCGTTTGATTATATTGGTAATGAATGAAATAGGGAAATGCATTGGGAGTAAGATAATCGGGAATTGAAGTCAAAGAAAGGGAATCTTACCTGTCAGTACTCCCGACTCTATCCAAACGAGTCGTACGTCTTTCGTGTCGAAAAACATGATTATTTCTGCCATCGTGACGTGAAAATGTCTTCATACCATTCTTCAATATATCTAAACCATTTATCGAAGACGTTTCAACTTTGTTTAAACCGCTCAGTCGTTCCAAACATTTCACTATAGTTGTACCATTTTGACTGCAACTAAACGTTGTACTGTTTGAATAGGGATACGTATGATTAAAAAGACCATTCTTATGAACAATCTCTAAATAATCGTAGTTAGAAGAGTCCAACATATCGTCCATATTCTCTCCACTGTTCTTATCCTCCATGTACCCACTAGCCGCCATCTTGGTCGCGTCATCGGTCTTCGTGGTCAAGGAGCCGTGACGTCACACAAGTAAACACGTGCGAATGGGGGACACGTGACAATCAGTTCTTCCTTCCCCCGACTTATTAATGACAGGCACGCTTGCGTGAACTTGCACAGCGAGATGCCCGTCTCTCTTCCCCTCTCTAACCGCCGTATGTATAGTATGTAGGTCGGTTGGATATGTAGGGCAGTGACAGTGAACTTGGCATACCTGTTGTCTTTTCCGCATTGTCCCCACCTTTTTTTCCTCCTAGATTATTTTGCCCCTTTCGTCATCTTCGATAGCGAATCTCTTCTCATAAATATATAACTTTCCTTTCCACTTTTCGCATTGGTTAACCATCAGAATGGGCAGACATTTTGAGTCGTTATTTTTTTCCTCTTTACGAGATCATTCATCCCACTTCTACTGTTTTACTAATTTAAATAACCGCTTTAAAAACTCGAATACAAATTTATAATCTTTAAAATACGTTAAAAATATCCATTTTAAAATATTCGATATATTGTTAGAATTTACATATGGCCTTATATTCTTAAGGACGTGTACATTATTTTAAAAGTGATTTAAATGCTAAATCTACTCAATACTAATTGTATTTAAAGTATATATATTAAAGATAAGTCATTCTTTTTTAGTAGAGACAATTAGGTTACTTTATCTGAGCTATTATGTGAAATTTAGTGGGCCTCACTGATTGATACGGTTGTAAATCAGTTGCTAGAGAGAGTTCATACATGATTCTTTATTTAGGTTTTAATGAATAGTTTGTTATCAGAACAGATAAAAAAAAAAANATTTTGTTGAATGTATAAGTATTTTTATTCAAGCAAAAAAAATGTTATAAAGTAATAATTATATTTTAAAAAATGGAAAATAATTTAGCACATGTTCAATCTAGCGATTCGACTGTAGTAAATACAATAGTTGGACAATTGAAATCGCAAGGAATTTTTGATGAGTTTCGAAGAGATTGTATTGCTGATTTTGATACTAAGGTAAGTTTAAAAATATAATAATAATAATAATAATAATTTTATAGCGCAATCACTAAATAAATCAATAACTGGCAAAATATGTGGCTTGATATTAAACTGTTTATCTTTTTTAATCAAAATTTAATTTAATTTCAATAAAGTTTAATATATTCATATATTTATTTTGATTAAATGAAGTCTATAGTCTATAGCTATTTTTAAGCGGAAAAAAGTACAAAAAAAACATGTAATTGTTCATAAAAAATACCTGAAATGCAGTTTAAAACACTATATAAATACATTACTTTTTAAATTAATTTAAATTTTAAAATATATCGTTGAAAATATTCCCCAAATTATTATTTAAAATATCTATTTATATATTAATCTGGACATTAATATCCACTTGTAACAATTATTGTAATGAAATGAGAATATCTATTGCATCTATATATTGCATATTATGATAAATTAATACACATTTTCTTGATGTTCAATTTTATAGTAGGCCTATATACAAAAATAATTCTATGTTCTAAACATTATAAACTCATAAAAAAATGTGCTTTGATAGATAAGTGTACACAAACTGATGTTCTTTCATATATCTTCAGATTATAACTTCCTATTGCTTTAGTTTGATATCTTCAATATATTAATGATAACCTATCTACCATGTTTATAATTAATCTTAAAATAATCAAAGTTGATATTTTACTTTCGTTTAAGATTAATTATAAACATAGTAGATAGATTATTGTAAAATATAACATAAAAATCAGTTTATATTTTTACAATCAGGCCGTTTCAGAAGTAGCTTGAGAGGATCTATATATTGAAGGTCTTTTTGAGGTACCCTAAGATATTCAAAAACAAAGATCTTTTTTTTAAATACATAAGAAATACAACAAAATGAATAATTTATAAAATGTGTTTTTGTGGTTCCTACAAATGTGAAGCCCTGTGAAAGAGAGACCAACAGGATTCCTGTAAAAGGGCCTACCTGCCCTCTTGTGAAAGAGACTTATGTAATAAACTCAGAAAAATAAATACGATTTCAAAAATTTCCTCAAAAAATAGAAGAATTCAGAATCATTATTATGTTTCACGTGAATACAGTAAAACGTTGTTTTGAACAAACCCACTCTAATGTCACTCTTTATCCTTCCGACCACCCAGAACCGATCTTAGTTATAAAACTATTTTATTACAGACTTGTTCGTCTTTAAAAGCGTGGTGTAGAATAAAAACATTTTCTTCAATAAAATTTCCAAACTGGTATTTTAATTGTTGGAACTTTACAGCATTAAACGGCATTTAAATAAATTATATATTTATTCTATTCATATAAATGATAAATTTATTATAAAGATTTGACTACATGCATATAATCTAAATTTTTACGGTAGAAACCTATAAAAATCTTGCATACATTATGTCATATTTTGTTTTATAAATGTAACTTGCAAAATTTTAAATTAATATCAATTTTGATAAATAATTGAGGAGTTTTATTAAAATTAAAAATATAAGCTAGTTTTTCCTTCCTTCAATTATATTTTGAGGTTAATTATTGCACTTAATTTAGCATGAAGCAAGGGCATTATAATAGACAAAACAATATTTCATTTTATGTTATAGTTATATTCAGTTCAATAATTATATAAAAATCAATTAAGCGTTTCATAAAAAACATTTCATAAAAACACGCAACAAAATCAATAAGTTTAATAAATAAAATATACTATTTTATACTTTTACTTATTTAAAATTAATTGCGTTTTTTAAAACAACCAATCACGTCACAGTATAGTTTTTATACGAAATAAATTTAATCCGCGGGTAATAACCTAATTTAAAATTTAAAATATTATAAACTAATAAAATATTTATAATAGCAACTATTTATTTTATTTAAATAATAAATTATTTATTTGTAGAAATCGTTTAAGTTTAGAATCAATAATAAAGTTTGGCAAAAATATAAGCCTATTTAGCCTAATATTTATTTTTATTGTAATTTCAAAAAATAGAATTATTATATAAAATCAAAAACGATTAAATATAATGCTAAAAGATTTTGGCACAGAATAAAGTTTTATTTATAATTTTATTCTTGATTTATCTCGTAAAGATTTCTAGTTCAAAATGGCCGCATCGATTCGATGTTTGGAGCGAAAGAGGGCGCACCTGATAGACCACTTTAGTTGTCTTTTGACCTTTAACCTCTGAAATCCAAGGACAGATTGTTGAAGCGAATGCACGCGAACTGTGTGAACAGTTCTATTTTTATTGTCTCTTTTAACATTTTCACCAAATTAAGAACTTTATAAAAAATTTTTGTCAAAAATTAGCCACTGAACATTTTTACTCTGAAGAATATTTATAATAAAAGTTTCTTAAAAAATTCAGTTTACTCTAAAAGCGATTCATATCCAAAAATAGTAACCCAAAAAGTTTTAACTCTTCATATTCAAAAATTTGCTCTAAAAAACTTACAAAGAAAATTCGTTAATTCATAGAAAACAAATCCAAAAGCAATTTTAAAGGTTTAAAACTTCATATTTAAGATATATTGTAAGAAAGATTCAAAATTAAGAACATCTTCAACTGATAGAAATTTTTATTGATAAGATAATATGAAAGCAAAGGAGACATTGACCTTTCTTACTTTTTAAGATATTTTATTTGATTTATAGTTTTGAATGAAGAAATATTTATAAATAATGTTCAGGATTATGCGCTAAATATCGAAATTAAAATTTCATCTCAAATCAATTATTAACACAGTAAATTTGATAGTACACAATTTCACGCGAGTATTGATTATTCCCGAATCAAGTAGTTTCGTCACAACAATGTTGCCTCGCATAAAGAAAAATATAGAAAATTTACAGTAAAACATACGTTAAAAAGTATCTAAAATTAAAAAAAATATAATTTTTAGTAGACAGTATACATTTAGATTATAAGTAAAACTTAAAGAAATATCAAATGCTTATGAAATTATAGGCCTGTAGTGTATAATGCAATTAGATTTTGTTATTGAGTAATCTAGAGGAGAATAATTTGGATAATTATGTTAATAAATGAATAAAAATGTATATAACAAATCTATTTGTTATCCAATCTCCTCTAAACATAAAGTTAGATAACAGATTAACAGATAACGACACTCCTGTACTTTATGTTGAGCACTTGAAAATAATCGATATAACTTACTGTATTGTTTTAGATTCATGTTTTTATGCTTAGATATAATTATAGCATCATATATATATTCCAATTAGTTTAATTAGTACTATGTCATGCTTCTAGACTTCTCAGTTCCCTAACCAGGAATAAATCATTGCGGGGTAGAGAGATCAACTGAAAAAATTGTGACTGGTATTTTTTTCAGCCAGCACTAGGCCTATTAGCCTGAGTTTATGTGGTGGAAGCGAAAGCATATATTATATATACTTTATATGGGCACTATTGACTAACTAAGGGAGTTTAGCTATCTCATAGCCTCCCCGTAGCTACGAGTCTGAGACTTCTACAGTTAAGGTGATTGACATGTGTGGAAAAAGGGAGTTGTCATATATTTTTGAATCTGTTGTGCCGTTTGTACAAGAAATTATTTCAAAATTCTTTCTTCTTCATTTAAAATATTATGTAATATAACATAAAAAAGAAAGATTACTAAGATTAGGAGAATAAGTAAGAGAAAAAAAATGAACTGCAGTCGGGAGATAACATCGTAGCTCATTGTCGGTCACGTGGTTGGCGACACCATACCCTCTTCCACTTAGTATACGACAAAATGCTCTCGTCACGTGACCAATCAATGTCCCATTTTGCTCTTACGAGATGTGGTCCCCCTAACTTCCACAACATAGCTGACATCACGAAGTGAGTGGATGTCCATGGTTGGTGATAGTGATTGTTTCACTCGTCGTTTCTGACCGTTCTTCGTGACTGCCGGTGTTCATTCCGTGTTGCTTATCTTTTGTGATAACTCTGGCAGCTTCTGCTTCTCGTAGACATTGTTCATCTTCGATGTTTGTACTTTATTCTTGTTTTTCTTAATGACGTTTCTATGTCTTCGTGACTAATGCTCTTCCTTTTGTGTAGTCTTCTTTGTGATCGTGAGAGTTTCGTGTATATATTCTTTCTTATTCGTGAATGCTTACATCAATGACAAAAAAGTTGAAGATCGTAACCGTGTAGTAAATAATGGAAAGAAGAAAAAAAATTGATATCTTGATGTAAAAATATATTTTTCTTTGTTAAATTCATTAAGACAGTAACTTAATTCAGTTTAAAATACCAAATGATTCATTTCCATTATCACTTTAAAGAAATTCATTATGTAAATAATATGTATTTTTTTATATTACAAAATATAAATAAAATACTGTATTTTTATAGTAAACAATTATATAATGATCAAATTAATCATTAATAGTATTTATAAAAATACGTAATTTGACTTAAAAGAGCATAAATACTTATTCTATTTATTCGTAAAAAAAGCATAAATCCTTTACATTAAGGATTAAGTTATAATTTTAAAATTAAACATTATAAAAATTTATTATTAAGAAACTCATTTAAGTAGAAATAAAATGAATTTGAAACTATTATATAATCAAATATTGAATATAATATTAATAGATTAGACAATAAGGATTATACGAAATTAAGAAAATAAATTAATTTGATTTTAATTTTATTTATTAAATAAATTATATATTTATTAACTCACAAGGAAGAAGAGACTGTTACAGAAGGAACATTAGTTTATTTCTGAAGATAAATGGAGAATTTAAATCATGTTTATTTGTAATATGAGTAAATATGTGAAAAATATGTGTCAATGAATATGAGTATGCACGTATTTTATGTATGTAAATATGTAAACGAGTTATTAGTAATACAGAATTTCTAAAGAGAGACTTACAGATAAAGACATTATTGTATCTGGTTACCGTATAATATGTATATTTTTTTAATTGTAAGGAGAAGCTTCTAACTTTTAAAACTTTCAATTACTTTATATAGATCTATAAACTATTTCAGGTGATGAATAAGTAAACAATTATATGTTTGATATTTATAGAATAATTATAACATTGCCAAGAACTAGTTACACCTCTTAAAAGATGATAAAAATCTCATTTAAATTTTAGATTAAACAAGGAAGTTACTTGGTTATGTATATTATCTCTGAGATTTTTAAAGGAAGTTTATAAGGAAAATGATAAAATTGAATGGAAATATTTCATTAAATCATGTAATTTTTTTCTGAAAAGAAACTATAATTTTTATATTATTTTATACATATATTGGTTTATTTTAAATAATTATAGTGCCTCTTAGGCTCAAATGTTAAGAAAAATGTATTGATTGGAAGACAATTTTATCTGTTGTCAAATATAAAAACATGGTTACTATATACATTACTTTCGTGTAAATGTGATAAAAAAAAAATTGTATGAAAAATATAATCACGAAAAACGCTTCAAAAATTCGATTATTACCAAAATAGCGTACATTTTATGAGCTATTTTAATTTTATAATACAATTTATTCTATTTTAAGCAAATTTATATTTATAATGTCAATATAAATTAATATTGATCAATTATAATTTATATTCTTTAAAATGAGGTAATTACAATTTTCATTGATTTGTTATTTAAAAAAAGCTAAAGAAAAGTTCGATTTTTTACTTTTTTTTTTATAATATGTAGTATATTTGTAGGGAGAGTAATGCTCTGGTGAAAAAATCGATACAGAGATTTACATGTTTCGAGTTGTTTCTGACAAAGAATAACTGATTTCAAGCAACACTGTAAGTTTGTCGTTATTTAAAACATAAAAATAATTAAAAGTGGCCTAATAAAGAATAAAAATACCATTTCTATATCAAAAAAGATGTCATATTTGTACGATGTTGATTTATTGATTTTCGGGAGGATCCAATACCGGAAACGGAAATTATTAACATTTTTGTCTCTCGTTCACGTTATTCCGCGTTGTATCCGCATTTTTCTTCCTGATTTCTTTCTTATATATATTTTTAACATTTGAAATTACATTAAATTGATTCTAATTGAATCGTATTAATATTTAAATTCATTATAAAATTATAAAATAAGCAAATTCATTCATAAGAAATGTCAGAAATCATCTATTATTTTTGAAATGATCGAATTAAATATATTTTATTGTTTAAAGTTGTAAATAGGCCTAAATAATTATTACGGTATATTTTATTATGTAATTTAATAATTGAAAATGCACATAAATAGTTATGTTTATAAAAGAAAGTCAAAGACAGGTTTATCTTAAGTTAATTATCCAATTTGTAACTGAATATCTAGAGATTTATACAATTTATTTATTCATACATAAGAAAATTTTGCAAAAAAACAGCTTTAATTAGAAAATAGAAACAAAGTAAGCTGTATTCTTAACATTTCGGTGAAATTATTAGCATTTATGAAAAATTTACAATAATTTTTTATATAAATTTTTCTAAAAATCCTATCAAGAGATACTAGAGACAAATTCCTTAATAGAACTATCATGTCTCGCAATTAAAGTGTCACATTTAATTATTTTTTAATTTTACCTTATCTTAAAACTTATCATCAATTATAAATATTAGATATTCTGTAAATTTATTAGGTACATTCAATTTTTCCATTACAGATATATAGAATAGGCCAAAAGTCAATTACTGTAACAGAAATATATTTTAAGAAATGTTTAAATTGGATTGAAACAGCTACAGTATAGTCTGTTTAATTGGAAGCTAGTGAATCACGAATAATAAAAATGCAACTGTTGACGTGGATTTTAATGTTTTTGTAAACAATAAGTAAATCCGAGTTAACTGACTTTTGGGCCACTATTATTGTCAAGTAATTATTATAATTAGAAGCTGAATTTATATCAAAGAACCTCGTAAACATATCCTTAAAAAAATCAATTTATCTTTTGATACTTCATGTTTCCATGTCTATTAATGACGTGATAGTAAATTTTTAATAGTTTGTAATTTAATACCTGAATTCATTAATTTATTTAAAGTTAGAGTTAATAAATATATTTCTACACTTTTCAATAATCATTAAGGTTGAAATTTTGTCTTGAAGTGCATGATATATTCTTTTTATTTGATCCTAAGAACGGAAAAATCCCTTAAGATCCTTCTGATCCCTTGATGCAATTTGATTGTCTCAAAACAAGCAAAGATATTTTTTTAAAATTTATTATTCTTATTTAAAATAAAAAAAAAACAAAAGCGATATTTTATACCGAATTGGGAGCAATCCTATTATATCTCTATACATAGAATATCATCCTTGAGTCTAAATCCTACTAACATCTAAGATGCTAAATCCATGTCTAGATTTTAGAAAATTTTTGAATAAAATATGAATTTTAAACTTATACAATATAATTAATTAACTTTTCATTTTTAATACTAAAATTTTAGATCTCTTTTTATATATGGAATTATTTTTTCACTTTCATATTAAATTGATTTTAAATAAGAATTTAAGCCATAAAAAACTATAAAACTCACATTTTATTTTAACAATTATCTATGGCTTTATTTTGATTTAAAATTATTAATTTACACTACAAAAAGAAACTTAATTAATTAATTTAAAGAAAAAAGAATGTGAAATACTTTCTTATCAAGATAATTTGAAAATTTATCATATATTTTTTTTCTTTAGAGAAAATTAAGTTATGTATAACAATACTAAATTTGTGCTTTCGTGACCTTTTCTTGACAAGTGACCAATTGTTGTCTTCTCATGATGTGGTGCTGTACGTGATGTTGTATTGTATAGCAACTACACGGTTAAAGAATATGCTGAAGTCACTAACTGGCGCACGTTTAGCAAATGTTAACAAAACATCAGATAAATAGGTTAGATCTGTCATAGAGGTTTTTTATTTATTTATTTATTTAAAAAAATCTAAAACAGTAGTAAATTAGTCGAAAATGTATACATTGTTTAGGAAATTGTCATTTAAGTTAAGTTTGTTATAATATTAATCGAAATGTTCGAAAAATATATTTTAATGTTATATTTTACAGGATTAAAAAGTAAATCAGGTAATATAATTTAGATTAAACGCATCTGTACCTAAAACAAGTAAAATCCGTACTTATATTATGAACTGATTTAAAATATTTGAATCTTATAATCTTTAATAAGAAAAACATTTTACTGTCAAAACACTCGAAGATTGTCACATTTGTCTTCTCAGCTTCAAGATTTATATGAAAATTCGAGGGGGGGTTGGACTGCAATTTGAAAAAAATGTACATCTATAAATTCCCACTGTCAACCGTCCGTCAGTCTTTCTTTAGTCTCGAGAACGGAGTTAGGTAGGTGAAAGTCCAGACCAGATATGGAAACCGTAGGGATAGGAGACCCCGATAAACTGTATATAAACTTCCGATACTAACCAAAACTTACGTTATTTCAGTTCAAAATTTTTCTCCTGAAAGCAGTTAAAGGAAAAGTATGATGTACAGGAGTAAGATTACTACTAATTTCAGGTGGAGAACATATATTTTAAATGAAATAAATTAAAAATGGGATTAAAAATTACAGCCCGGCATTGTGACGATGTCACAATAAATAATTGCTTGTTGTAGAGTACGTTTACCTTATAAGACTATGGTAACTTATATAAGGCATGATTATAAAAATTCACTCAATGTTTTAAAATCACTACTCTTTATAAGGATTAGATCAAATCCATAGAAACAGAATATTGATTTATTACACATTTATGATTCTGTGCGACACATTTAGGTAAGAATCTATTATTAATAGTTTAACCATGATTTTCTGAATATTCTTTAATTGTTAAAGTATCTTACTGTTTGATATCCACCTTTGCTTCAATTAATGAAAGAAATTACAAATGCAACTTTTATGAACTTAACTGCTATAATATCTTAAGATATATGGCATTTTTCAATATAATAAAAACACCTTTAATAGTATTTGTGATCGCGAATGTACTTGTCACATTATATTAATATCTTAAAGATTAATCTGTAAATATTAAGGACTTCCACAGGAACACGAAAATTATCTTCATGTTTTCGTAGGAACATGAAAATATAGGTAATTTATTTATATAGTCACGCTTTGATATGGTTTCGTACAATAGTAGCGATATATCGAAGTTTGACCGTCTATAATCTATAGGCAATATATATATATATATATATATATATACACACACACACACACAATCAAACTTCGATTACATATAAATTATATATCAAATTACAAAGTATAGCGGATATATAGCCTATGTACAGCGTATATATAAGCTTAAATACAAGCTTTAATAACTAAAAACAGAGACAAAACACCGTGAATAGAATAGATAACAAAAATAATAATTTAAGTAACAACCAAAAAAATCTCTCAAGTTTTTTTTACATTAAAACTCTTCTGAAAACCTCTCATGCATGGATTTTATATAATTTAATTTAGAGGAAAATATTAAAATGCAACTTTAATTTAGGATATTAAATTAGGGATTAAATATTTTCTAAAAATTTCATTGAACTTCTTATTTATTTAATTGTATTATTTATAGGCATTTAGCCAATTTTTAAAATAAAAGTAGATATTTAAAATAAAGAATTTAAAGCAACTTGAAAAAATTATAACAAATTATTTAGTAGTCTATATGTAATTGATAATTCAGAATGAATTTTTTTTCTAATAAAATTATTTTATTTTGCTAAGTTGACTTCTAAACTAGTTCGAATTTAGTTTAAATTAAATAAAAAATACTCAGGAGATTAAAAAATATTTTTTTATTAATAATAATAACGCAAATATAACTTTAAAATATTTTTAAATGTTTAAAATATTAAAAAATATTATTTTATAACATGTAATTAATAATTATGTCGGATCAAATTAATATAATGTATTTAAGAAGCTAATTCATTTAAATTTAATTTTGGGAAAATTTATATTAAATTCAAATATTTAAAAAGTTTATGATGTTTTTTACCCCGCTTTAAGATTGTAATTGGCTACTGGAAACCCGTCGTAAAGCGAGCCTTATAAACAACGTTATAAATTAAGATTATGTTCCTAAAAATGATTTTAATTGTATAAATATCACACAAGATCGACAAACAAAGGATTCAGATTCTTATAAGTTACAATAGAAAATTTATACTAGTAAAATCAAGGAATATAAGTCTACAGTCGTAAAGCAAGGTAATACTTTAACAGATTTCTCATTTGATAGCGATGTGTTAAATTAGGAAAGGAAAAATATTCAAAATCATTTAAAGCACTAACTATAATTAAAATTTTACACGAAATTTCAAAGTAATATTTAATTTAAAATGCTAAATTTATTGAACTTGTTCTCATTTAAAGCCGTTTTGTCGACCAAAATTTTTTATTTCAAAAATAAATAAATAATATTTAGTTTTAGAATAGTCTAGTTATTTATTACTATAATTTTTTAAAAGAATTATTCATAAAATAAAGATACTCTAAAATTTTCCTATACCGGATTTTTGAGTTTCGTTTATTAAAAATACTGTATATTAATTTAGAACTGAAAATAGCTAAACATTATTTTGTAATTAATTTTTACTTTTATTAAATAAATTATGAGGAAAACAGCAAACAGAATGCATATTTGTTTGTTGGTTTGAGATGTACACCCTTTTTACGTCAATCTGACGTCAGGTTACTTTCGCCCATTGTTAGAATAAAGGAGTGGCGTTATATTGACGCCAAAGAGCACAACACCCAATCAAACAAACACGAATATATCAATTTTCGATCGACTTCAAGTGGTCTTTATAGTTGATGATCGATCGAGATCGCTGAGATGTATGTTCTGATTGTTTTCGATCGATCATCAAATAAAAATAACCCCTTTACTAAATAGATATTTTTGTATTTTCATTTTTAAACTGGCAGATATAAAAACTCAATAGAGTCTACTAAATTAGTACTAAATAACGAGAATTATTGCAAAGTCTCGAGCACAATTTGGTTGGACGATCAAGTTTTGAGTGTCATATAATTCTCCGAGTTTAATTTATAATTTATTTTTAATTAAAGGAATATAATTAATTGCTTATTCCATTAAACATATTCTTCTTTTTTTTTCTATTTCGACATTCTTTTCTTCTGTAAGTGAAAGGTCATAAAGATTAAATTTGGTCAAGCAAATCATTCACTCAAACAATATTAAAGAGGAGCATTTGAAAATGTATACATGATAACCTAGTAAATATGATAAAATGTTGATAATTCACTTTTCATGTAAATACACTTGTGATCTCGTCGAACACTATGCACATCTCTGCTACTATAGAGTTTATAATCGCATTGAGAAGTTTTTCTAAATAAAGTTCTTTAACTGACCTAGAAATTATAATAATAAGAAGGAATTTATGGCAATTCAGAAATTATTGGACTGCAATTTGAAAAAATTGTAAACCTATAAATTCGCACTGTTGGCTGTTTGTCTGCCCTTCTTTAATTTCGAGACGGAGTTAGCTAGATGAAAGTCAAGACCAGATATATATGAACTTCCAATTTTCACCGGAAGTCAAGATACTCCTGAATTATATTTTGCTTTATGACGATTTTCACCTTCTGTATTTTTGGATTATAAATAATTCAGAATTTTAAGTTAAAGCTTAGAATAATTGATATTTTGTTTTTTCACAATATCACCTATCCTACATGCTTAATTGTTTACGATTTTCAAATTATTTTTATAGTTGAAGATACTTTACTGCATAATCTTTGATTTCCTTATTTTGAATTTAATTTTAGAATAAAGTATTTCACAAATGTCACTGTTATCAAATAAGAACGAATTTTCAAGATCTGTTATTTCAAAATCTCTATTCCCTTCCGGAAAGGATAAGCCTGAAGATTATATAGCACTAAGACCCAATCAATAAATCGGAATCATAGATCTTTTCATTGAATTATTGAAGACGTTTCGCTAATCACTTTTTTTCATAATAAAATTCATGAACCTTTTTGATTTCTTGATGTGAATATATGTATCAATTACCTGTTTATTGTTTTACGAAATCTTCAACGTGCACATCTTAATAGGATTACATTAGTCTATCCTTTCTTTTCAATAGAAAAATATGAAATATGAAAACATGGGATTAATATGAAATGTACCTGTACATCTCATACCTTTTAGCTTACTATAAAATTCATACTCTAAATTCTGAGAAATGTCTTAATATAAAAATTGTCGAAACCATGTCCAGAGGATCAGCTATTTGATATTGAGGTATATTTATATATCATTATGTTTGGCTTATAATTTTTGAAGATGCGTTTCTCACCCATAAGCAATGATCAATATTTCAATAGATGGTTTGTGGTTTCGTCTAATTTTGAAACTTCATTGATAGAATTTTAAAGGATAACAAATCCTCTTTTTTAAGGAGCAACGTCTGTATTTGAAGATTGGTCCTTTATAAAATTAAGAGTTTTGTTTTTACCGTTTCTACGACAATGGATGAGTAGTGGTGTAAGACAAGAAAACGAACATGTGAATCGAAAACCAAGATTCAAAAGGTGTTGGCTTACTTCAAGTAATCAAAACGGAAATATCGTATTTGATTCGTTGATTGGATAAAAAGAACTACTTATAGATATATAAGTCTAGCCAAATTACTCCTAAGAGAATGTCTGGATTATAAAGGAATAAAATGTCTACAGAAATAAAACTAGATAATGAAGAGCGTGTGTGTGTGACCCGAAAAAATCTTAGTTCACGATTCAATTGTTTAAAAAGCTTGAATCTGTCTAAAGATAAAAACAGAAATCAATAAGTGCATTATTCTCACTATTCTATCGTTTTATTTCAATTTTTAACTTCATTTATATTAGTATTTCGAGTGGGCACAAATGATATCACTCGATTATACCGCCATCTGGTGTTATGAATTCTAAATCTAAAGGTAAATGCTTTTTTGAATATTTCTTTAAATTACACGGATATTTTCTATTATCGCGGCGTATCATTTTCTATTTTACAAAAGTAATTAATTTAGAATCTTCCCTAGATTAATTTCTTTTCAATTTCTAAAACAGAGTGTTAGTTAAAATGTCGAATATAAGGTTCGTACATTATAAAATTCCTATTATTTATTCGACGGCTGGATGGCCGAGCGGTTAAGGTGGAAGCCTATCGTTCGGGCTAACCCGAGATCGAAAACCGGGCAAACCCGGGATCAGGAATTTTTCGGGTAGACCATCCTCACTTTCCTGGATATGTTGGCTCCGTCCCTCACCACGCAGTCGAGGAAAAGGGTTTTTTTCTTTTTTTAATAATCAAGATCTATTGTGGATTCGGTCCGACTTTAATGGGGCAGCCCGGTGATGAGGGGTGGGACGGACTCCCCAAAAAATTTAGGGTTTTTTAACTCGTTCAAATTTATTCCCGGTTCTCCAAAGCATCAGTCTAGTGACTTAACTACTCCGCCATACTGCCATCAATATTTGAATGGATATACGAGGTAGTTACCGTATTGTGAAATCCCAAAAAATACCTCTAGTCAAGTTAGTGTCCAGACCTGAGCGCGGAGTCCTGAAAAACATTTAATTACAGGAATTACAATAATAAACTGTAAAAGAACCCATTTATTTTTTATAAATTTTATGATTTAATAATATATGTTCATCTACTTCATTTGAAAATGAGTTTTACAGCGTAAACAAATTGTCTAGTAGCAAAGAGCCCACCAATGGCTAAGTGGATAAAATCACTAAACGTTGTAATTGGTCGTGGGTTCGCTTCTCTGCCAACGGGCTGGCCACGTGGAGTTTTTCGGGTTATCTTTATGTTAGTAACACTCTGTCTAAACGTCTAGCGCGCCCTAGACAAAATTTAAATTGTGACCCATTTAAATAAGTTGCTTAGTAACTGTATTGGACTGTACTATTCACTGTTACAAGCAGTTATTAAATCGTAAGTCCAATCTTTCAGTGGCGTGCCGTGACATTTGATGATAGGGAAGCGGTGTTTCTATAAGAAGCCGACTTCCAGGGGCAATCAATTAATTCTTTCTTTAAATGTATTTTTAATAGATTATTTATCTGACGTACTTAATAAATAAACAAGTTCAATATAATTATCTCTGTTATTACATTCAATAGATTACCCTCTAAATGACAATTCTTGCTTTGATAAAAACATATAACATCTATTAATTTAAATACTGTGTATCTCGTTATAATTTTCAATATTTATTTTATATTATTTACTAATATTAAATTCTATTCCACTTCGATTTCCAAATTGCTTCAAATACGAAAGAATCGACGATTTTTCGTGTCTTTTGCCAGTTAAATTGTCAAAGCCATTCTTATTCCACACACTAATTTAATTTGAATAATTTCAAGCCAACAAAACAATTTTTGCATTTTTATGCCTTTACAGAGCCATTTTATCGTGAAAATGTCGAACAAATTTTTTATTGAAGCGTTTATATTTAACTTAGGCATTGGCCTTTCTCTTTTAATAATGTTTTCTTTTTCATTATATGATCTCGTGCCAAAACTTTTTTAAAATAAATTTTCAATATCGCAATAACATTCTGAATCGTTAGCCACGATATAAGGGCTAAAATTAAAAATAAAATTATAAAAACTTACTTGGTGAAATAAAATGTCTGGTGGATATACATACCTGATATAAAACATTCTTCAATTGTACGAATATACTTTTACAGAAAATTATAATTAAATATAGCTTTGTAATGAAACGTACATAAAAATAACAAAATATTCTTTACTCTTTAAATCTTAAAATCTTAACCACTTAGTCAAATAGCTCCGTACGAGTGGAATCAGAGACGGTCCTGCTAGGTGTGCGGTGTATACATGCACGCGGGCTGCCAAATCCCATGGGTGCCGATACAGGTCAATTTCAAATGCCTCTTTTGTCGCATCACTAATATACCTGAAAAGACGCGACGGGGTTCTTGTAAATTTTAAACGTTTCTCACCATAGCTGCAAAAATCTAAATATGTTAAACTTAATAGATTGTCCGTCTTGTTTTCTAACTAATTCATTTTAGAACCAGGTGTTGTTCACGGAAATTTCGAAAATTTACAACTTTTCGGTCACTCTCGTCGAACTCGAAAAATTTCTGTCTTTATTACATCTAATACAGTATTTCGAAGAAATCAGTCCCCACTGTACTCGGCTAGAGATTGGTTCGGTTAAGCTTTTAAGTATTCTTCCGGCTCTTTCATCAGGGTTTTGTTTACGTCCCCAATTCCCTAATCGCTTAATTATTTAACTACTTCTTAAGTAGAAATAAGTCGAAACCGGTTACTTTGTGCTCGAATATTTGTAGTCTCGGAAAAAAAGTGGAAAGACAAATTTTTATGACAAACGGATACATAAATCGTTAATTTAAGGAAAATAAATTCTAGAGCTTTTTCTGTACCTCGTGCATCTCTCTTATTCATTAAATTTAGTTGTAAATTATGCTACCAAAGTAACAGTTAATTTTTTAACATACACGTTTTTATCTACATCCCCTTAAAGATTGGACATACGAAATCGTAATATCACTGATTTAGCATTAAAATCCGTGAGTAATATAAAATCGGAGAGCGGAATAAATATATCAAATATTTTAACGGATATTTTAAAACTCCTGTCAACAATACAGAACTATCATAAAAATATACCAGTAAATTCTTATCGGTTGGGTTAAGTTATAAATCTACTCATAATTCACATAATCAGGCGAAGGTGGCCAAATATCTAGCGGGCAGGTGGCTAAAGCCCAGAACCGGTCCTGGATAGAATTAGATGCGATATATGTGTAGCATGCACCCAAGGTCCTAGGCTTCCACCGGCTAAACCGGGTGAGGTTAGTGCTCTGTAAAGCGCATGCGCGAATCTGGCTTTTTGGATGCTGACAATACAGCGCTTCCACTCCGCCACTAATATTCGAATATACAATAGCGATCTTATTTTTTTTTTCACGTGTAGTATAGAAATTTGTAATAAGATACATAATGCGGTTATAATAAAATATTGTGCGATTATTTTCATATAATTAAAATTAATATGTATTTATTTTTTAGAAAATACAAGGGAAGCGGCGCATCCACCGCTTCTAATGACGGCACACCACTGCAATCTTTAGAACAGCATTTTCTGTATAGTCATCTGATGTTGAGAATCTGGAATGAATCCAGTATCAAATTAAGCCTCTAGTGGGCCCTAGACAAAATATTAATTGGGCCTCATTTAAATAAGTTGCTTCTAAATAAATCTGAAATAATGTATATCACTTAAAATTTTTATTAATAATAGAGAATACAAACAATAATATAATACATGTACAGTACATGCATATTTGTAGTTATCATGTACACTATACACTGGTACAGTATGTAGCACTGAATCCGATTTTATTACTTTATCAATTGATTATTATGACGACATTTATTAGTATTATTTAAAAATGACAACAAATATTCTACACTAGCTGTTACCCGCGACTTCGCCCGCGGGGTAACCAAAACAAGCAAACAAACCCCATTTATATTCAGTATTTCAACAACTATAGTAATTGTTATATAACACCTACCGCTGAGAATAATGAGAATTGCTGAGAATCAAACGAACTGTTTTCAATTTTGATCAATTTTCTGGAACGTTTACAATCGTTGTATAATCGAACCAATATGCAATAACAAATTCGAATTTAAAACGGTTCGAACATTTGATTAAAAAATCGAAATATAAAAATATTTATAACAATGTCTGAAATGTTATCAATTTAATACACCTAAGTACTCAATGAAAAATAAATGTAGTTGAAAACAAAAAATCGCATCTAAATAGTACAGTAGAAACTGTTCTTCAGGTTAAGCCTTAA